GCCATAGCTGATGCATACTCTTGAAGATATAGCTGCGGCTGAGGTTAAGTGGTAAACAAGAAACACAGGGCTTCATGAAAAAAAGAAATGCAGTCATCGCTAATATTTGGAGGGTTTTTTACTTTTCCCATACAAATTATATCTGCATGTAAGAGAGAAGTTATCTTTTTGTGAGCAACACACTTCTTGCATCTAAACACCAGGGAGAAATGCTAATAAACATAAATTTTGTAGCACAGTTTTTCAGCTGCTTTCTGACTGAACATTTGTACTCTACCGATGAGGGGTATTAATGCAGCCGTCACAAAAATTAGAATCTATTGTGTCGGCCCACCACATATGTTAACATCCAATATAACCTTGAATCACTATTTCCTTTTAAGAAACCTTTTAGAGAATAGCTTGATTTGACAATAGGCTTCACGTGTTAAGAATTTTAAACTACTATTTGGACTGACATTTTCTCTGGGTGGATGATATGTGTTTCCAAGCATAAAAGCTAAGGCTTCAGGATAAACAGCTTCAGCTACTGGGTTTCTGGTGTTAACAGCATGAAGCTTACTACACTATTACTGTTGTTAGTAAAAAAAAACATTAACAATAACAATACTTTGCTTTTTAAAATATAAAGCACTATAAAAGTGCTATGTGCAATCAATTAAATCTTCCTCACAGCACTCACTGTGATGTACCCTCTTTTTATCCTAATTTTAAAACTTGGAAGAGAAAACTAAGACCCAGAATGTGTCTTTCCATTGACTCTAAAGGGAACTGGCCCCTCACAATCAGCCCAGTTTGTGTGGTGGGGCCACAGCATTTGCCAGCCCGTGGGCAGCTCTCCTTTGTTAGGAGAGTTGCCATTGGTTAATCTAGTGTTTCTTATAAGCACTGAGATTGACTAGTGAGTGTGGGGGGAGGGGGAGGAACAGGGGCTGCTCACAAAAGGTGGTGCCAGGCAGAAGGCATCTTCCTGCTTTGCCCTCTATGCCACTACACAGTCCTACCCTCTCCCCATTTTTCCTTGGGAGCTATTGGTTTCCTGGGGAATCTGTTTCTTGTTGCTCACTCTGTGTGTGGTTTTATGCTGTACATGAGGTTAGGGCAGAATATTGCAGTCACTGCACTTGAGCAGCCCTGATGGTGGCCTCATGCAGCGGAAAGCATGGGGTTACTGACATTGGCTAGGCCTTAGAAGAGCTGCAGGCCTTGATAAGCCCAGGCTACATTAGGATGCTGTGGATTGGAGTACTGAAAGAGGGGGAAAACCGGTGACAATATGGGGAGGCTATGGCCTTCTGCCCACCTTTCTTCACTTCTGCCAGGACAGGTGGCCATCAGGAGATATGCTGTGTAAGTTAAAAGTTAACCACAATTTTATTTACTTGTCCAAAATACTATATTGTCTCGGTCCATACTGGCCCTCTGCTATTCTCAGTGGAAACTGGATCAGGCCTTAGTTGACTTGCATAAGGTTGGTTAGCAAGTACAAGATGGTGGCAGAGCCAGGATTAGAACAGTGGAGGTCCTGGGTACCACTAATATGCTCACCCCACTAGATGACACTACTTTTCCACCATGCATTCTATAGCCATACGGTTCCATGACTTGGAACACTTTCAAATACATAGTACTTTTCCTCCAATGGTGAGTAAATCTCATGTTGTGAATCGGGTTTGTTTACTATTATATGCCCATTAAAACCCTACAACTTCTGGTTCTTCTTCATATCCCTGCTTAACAACAACCACCTGAATTTAACATAGCTGTTTTTACCAGAATGCTGTTGCACAGAAGTCTAACACAGAAATTAACTTTTCATAGGATGTGTTGAGAGTAATGATGTTCTTTGAATTCAGCTGTCACAATTAATTTGGCTTGTGATTATAGGGTGTGTGGAAGGGACAGAAGAACCTAGTTAACTACACAATTAAAATAGCTTGAAACAATATGAAATTTTATTTTATTGGAGTTGGGGTACCTGCCTTGGACTTGGGGGAGGGGAGTAGGGAAAGAATTGGCAGTTTTCTACCTGAGTCAGCTATGTCAAAGAGTTTTAAAATTAAAAATATAAATTATTCCATTAGCTAATGGAAAAATGCTGTTAAAATGACCAAAACTAATATTGCTAATTGATTTGCATTCAGAATAGCTCTCATCACTTCAACAGAGATCAGTCTATACCAAACAATCATTAGATTTGACTGTATTTAGTCATTCAGTTCCAATCCCCCACCTGGCAACTCCATGGCACAAAGAATGATTTCATTATCTTTAAACTTTTCCAATAATCATCTAGTTTAGTCCACTGTAGTGCTGGTGATGCCTCAGCCTCCCTTGACATTTTTTCTTCTATCTTACTGTTATTAATAGTCCTAAAAATATTCCTATTATCTAGTCTTAGTTTTCCCTTTTGTACTTCCTAGGTTCTGTGCCGTTGACTTGTTGCATGATGACCATAGGCTAGTGATTTGGGCTCAAATTCTGAAATGTTTACATCAATTTTGGGTGCCTCAATTTTAATTTTTTTGATGGTGAGCCGCTGTTGCTTCCATTGACTTCATCTGGGGTTGCAGGAGCTCAGCATCCCTGAAAAAACAGGTCAAAGATGTTTACAATTGGACACCCAAAAACGGAAGCATGCATAACTAGAGGCCACTTTTCAAAATTTGTTTCTTGACCTCTCCACAAAACCCACCTGTAAAATAGTGACAGAACTTCTGTACTGAACCTCATATGGGTGTGTCAGCCTAATTCATGTGTCAGCCTAAGCACTTCACAATTCTGAGATGGGAGGTGCTACCATAGATAAAGTGTTACTGACTACAGTAGCTTACTTATTCATAGATTCATAGATTCTAGGACTGGAAGGGACCTCGAGAGGTCATCGAGTCCAGTCCCCTGCCCACATGGCAGGACCAAATACTGTCTAGACCATCCCTGATAGACATTTATCTAACCTACTCTTAAATATCTCCAGAGATGGAGATTCCACAACCTCCCTAGGCAATTTATTCCAGTGTTTAACCACCCTGACAGGAACTTTTTCCTAATGTCCAACCTAGACCTCCCTTGCTGCAGTTTAAGCCCATTGCTTCTTGTTCTATCCTCAGAGGCTAAGGTGAACAAGTTTTCTCCCTCCTCCTTATGACACCCTTTTAGATACCTGAAAACTGCTATCATGTCCTCTCTCAGTCTTCTCTTTTCCAAACTAAACAAACCCAATTCTTTCAGCCTTCCTTCATAGGTCATGTTCTCAAGACCTTTAATCATTCTTGTTGCTCTTCTCTAATAAACATGTTACTTTAGGTATGTAAATCATTCCCTGTCCACATTTTAATAATTCTTAACGATACCCCTTTAATGTTACTAAACGTTACCTTATTTAGATAGTGCAGACAAAGTCAATTTATACATAGGTAACTTTATGGGAAATAATCCGTGTACCTTGCACTCTTTACCATTAACTATTATATTATCATATATTTTACACACACAATACAGAGAAGTTAAAATTTTGGCAATGAATTTTAGGGACATCAGAAATAAATGTATGTGGGAATGCACACAACCCTTTTGTAATCTGTAGTCAGATGGAGATCTGCACTGTATAATAGAGTTTATTTTTATCCAGCTTCCTTAACAGTCAGAAACATCACACACTCTGAAAGGCTAAAGAGAAAAAGAAAGATTTAAAGAGAAGCAACTTGCTTTGTTACAGAAAGAGGAGAATGTTCAAGATAGATGGAGCAGAACAACTGAACAAGGGCTTGAATCAAGGCAGGGGTCCAGTCAGTCTTGTGAAATAACACAGCTTAAGTAGGGTTGCTGAGCATGATGCTTTGGATTCACACTCCAATGAGAATCAGTAAACTGAGGAGAATGGATGTTGTAGGCTGGGGGAACATCAAGAATATCGGGTAACATTTTCAAAAGCACCTAAGTGGTTTAGGAGCCTAAGTCCCATCAACTTTCAGTAGGTTTCAGCATCTAAGCCACTTATGTGCTTTTGACATTTTTTCCCCACTGTATTTATCATATGGAATAAAGCAATGAACAGTGGGCTCTGAAGACTTCCATTTCATGAGAACTTTTAGGAGATTTTCTATGAATGGTTATCATGGCTCTGCTGGTCTTACTTATTCCGTGAGCATCTCTCTTACTTGAGAAACTTCTGGTTGATAACAGAAGTAACTAAAAGTCCATGAAGAGCTTTGAAAATCATAAGGACAATTTAAATTGAATTGTGAGATGGCTAGAATTTGAGGAACCATTGGGTTGATATGGTCTCACATCCAGCTGCAGCTGAATCATCTGGCTATATAATTCTGCACTCTGTAAACTTTAGTGCATGAGGACTTAAGGAACAGGAAAAGATTTAGGGAAAACTGATTGCAATAGTCAAGTCAGGGTTAGGAAACATCTAGAGATGGAAATATGCTGACGAACAGACAAAAGACAGATGAGAAAAGAAGAACATTCTGAATCAAGAATAACTGGATGATACTATCATCATTTTAGTATAAGGAAACTGAGCCATGGAAAAATAAAAGACTGTCCTTAAGTTATAGAGGAAGTTTATAGTGGATCTGGGAACAGAAATCAGGTCTCCTGTCTTCTGGCTCTGCACCCTAGTAAACTCTATAGTGACTGTTGGATTTTAAATGCCATCTTATTGAATAAATTATTTACTTTTGGAAACTTCACAGGGGTTTCCTGTGGAATATGGGATACTTATATATTTTGATTTTTTTTTTAAATCTAAATTTTAGTTACAATTTACTGAAACCTTTTAGTAATAAAAATGTGACAAACATGTCTATATATAAAGTAGCCTGCAAAGTCAACTGAGAATTACTGAGTTTGTCAAAGTCAGCAAGCTGCTCAGAAATAATATATGCAAGGATAGCATATTTAAGACTTACATGAAAAGGTTACTGTTGTTTATGGCTGTTCTGGATGGTTTACTAAATCACAGTCTTTTTGGATAATCCTCACTACAGATCTGCACTCCAGATTTGGTGGTGTTTCTGGCCTGTTCCAATCAGCGGCTGAAAGAAAGGTTATTGAAACGTGCTGAACAGCAAGGGAGACCTGATGATAACCTCAAAGCCACTCAAAGACGACTTATTAATTTCAAGCAGAATGCTGTTCCACTGGTCAAATATTTCCAGGAAAAGGGGCTAATCATCACAGTAAGTCATTTAGCCATCAATATATGCACCTGATAACAAATGTATGGCTGTAGTTGAACTCAGGAGCTTGTACCTGGTACTCTGCATTCTCTTCGCTTTATAATAGTGAGTCTGAGTCAAATTCTGCTCTGATTGTTAGAGTGAGCATGCTAAAATTAGAATGGAGCCATGGCAGCACAAATGGCAGGAGAGGCTTAGCCACCCTAAGTAGGTACTGTCAGAGATGTACATAAAGCAACTAGCCTCTTCTGCCACTCACGCCCATGCAGAGATGCTATTTTTAGCACAGTAGCTCAATCAGAGCTAGCATGGATAAATCTCAAGCTAAAAATTAACCCCCAGTTTAAAGTGTAGACACACCCTTAATTTGATGTAGACTGTATAGCAGTGTAAGCTCAGACAGAAATTATATAGCTGCTGTGGAGCATAGTTTCTCTAAAGAGCATTAATGCGTATGAAGTGAAATTCAACCCAGTGCAGACAGCAAGTGACCACTTAAGCCCCACTTCAACCTTTCACTCAGGGCAGAAATTGTTCTTATGGCCTTGAATTTCATCCAAGGAAACAAAAACAAAAAACGATGAAGCTTTAATTACTGTTTCAAGGTTACAGTGTCATGCATTGCGAACACCTTTGGGATTCTTTGTCTTGAAAATATCAGAGAAATGATATTTGATTCCATTGATTGTGGGGCCAGATCCTCAGCTGGAGTAAACCAGCATAGATCTTCTGAATTCAATGAGCAATATTAATTTACACCGGTAGAGGATTTGGCCATTAAAGTGTAAGCTCTTCAGACAAGTCACATCCTGTTTATAATGTACCACATAAATTTATGGTGCTATATAAATGATAATTTTTAAAATTTTGGAGGCCAGGAAGGTCTGGCATAAATTGGTCCTTTTTGCAAATCAGTATGAATAGTGATCTCAGCAATATGCTGGAAAAGAGAATCCATCTTTGCACGCTAAACAAGTTGCATATGTAAGTGCAGCCAGAAGGTTTAATTAGTACAAGCAGGGTTATAAAGTACTGCAAAGGTATTTCAAGCTTATCACCTGCATCACCACAAGTAAGATAGATTATGACAGCTTTAATAAGGGGATGATTAATTTATTTTTTGCTTGGTGAAATGTCAGTAGATCTAACAGAGGAATTGAATAACAATGCAGATCCTGAGTACGAAAACAGATGAGCTTTAAGATGCATACCTCTAGTTACTATAAAGGGATACGGTGACGGTGCAGGACTCACCCCTGCAATACCTCCTGCTGGTCATCTCAGGGAATTAGCTCTTTCCAGCACAGAGCGCCCTCTGCAGGCCGGTGTCCCACTGCCACCGGCCCCCGTGTCCCTCCCAGGACCCGGTGCCCCTTGTCTTTGGGGTGCTGCCCTCAGGCAATATCCCTGCAGTCTCAGGGTCTCCCCACCCAGGGGAATCCCCAACCCTCTATACGCACCTTTCCTCAGTCGTGGGCTACTGCCAGTCACCATCTAGCCCCTGCTCACTGGGGCAGGCTGCAGTATAAAAGCCACTCATCATAGGCAAGCGGGGTTTGGACCTGCTGCCTCTGCCTACCCGTGGGCTGCCCCCTGCAACCACAGTACCTAATTGGCCTTCCACTAGGCCACAGCCTGGGGGGTTTCCAGGCCAGAGCTCCCCAGCTCCCTTGGCCTTCCCCCAGCCCTGCTCCACTCCAGGTACCTTCTCTCAGCTCCCTGCAGCCAGTCCCTCCCTCTCAACGCTAGAGAGAGTCTCTCTCTGGCTTCTGGCCCCAGCCCTCTTATAAGGGCCAGCTGGGCCCACATTAAGCCAGCCTTGGCCTGATTGGGGCGTGGCCCCCAGCTGAGGCTGCTTTCCTCACTCAGCCCCGCTTTTCCTTCCCTGCCACAGCCCTCTCCCCAGGCTGTTTTAAGCCTTTTAAGGCAGGAGCAGGTGACCACCCCGCTACAGATACTTAAAAAAAACTTTAGGAAAAGTGCAGAATAAGCAGAGAGGCTGATCTGGTTTTAGAATCTACAACTGAGAATTCACAATACACTTGAAGGAGTACTGTATAAAATATTGACAAGTATATTTCTCCAACTCGTTTATCTTCGGTTGTATTTGACATCTTTCATAGTCCAGTTGTAAACAGTAATTCACTGCTGTAGGTAAGGAATCTAGATAGTGCAGTTAGACTCAGGGCTGGCTCCAGGCACCAGCCGAGCAAGCTTGTGCTTGGGGCGGCAGATTCTAAGGGGCGGCATTCCCTCCAATCCTTTTTTTTTTTTGCTTCACCGCTTCGGCCGCCCCACAGGTTTTTTTTCCCTTTTTGGTTTGCCGTTTCGGCCGCCCTGTAGGGAGCGGTGGCGCGGAGGAGGGGAGTGCCCTGCTGGGAGTGGGCTGTGCGCTCTGTCTGCCCCAGCCGGTGCCAGGTCTGCAGCAAGCCTGGCAGGGCAGCCCGCGTCCTTCCCTCCCCACTGACCGGAGCCCCGGCTAAAGGAAGCCCTGTCCGCCCCCCTTCTCTCTCTCTCCCCCCCCGCTCCCTCCCCCTCCCCCCTAGGAGTCCCCCTACACCCTGCTTCCGGCCGTCCTGCAGGTTTTTGGTTTTTTGGTTTTTTTTGCTTCGCCGTTCCAGCTGCCCCACAGGTTTTTTTTTTTATTTTTTATTTTTTGCTTGGGGCAGCAAAAAAGCCAGAGCCGGCCCTGGTTAGACTAATAATTGTTCTGTTTATTTCTCTCTTACGACTTAGTCCTGCAAACGCTAACAGGTTTAGCAAGCACTAGCTAGTCTAGGGTGAAATCCTGGCCCCACTGATGAGAATGGCAAGTCCCCCATTGACTTCAGTGAGGTCAGGATTTCACCCTGAGTGCTTCCTACTATGAGTGGTCTCACTGAAGTCAGTGGGACTACTCAGAGTGGTTACATTACGACCGATGAATTATGAGCTCTGCCTGGTAGTAAGTGTTTGGAAGATTGACCCTTAAGAGAAAAACTGGCATTATATAATGTATCGTGTACAACCTCTTTTGGAAAGGTCTGTAAATCATACAGATAATTTTTCCTGTCATTATAAATATGACTGTCTTTTTAATACTATGTGCTAATCAGATTCAAAAATGTCAAAAATATCCTTAAATTGCAAACTAGACATGGTATGACAAGGATAGTCAATTATTTTTTTGTCAAGGTCCAAATTATTTGGTCAAGGTATAGTCAAGGTTCAGACTCCAGAGAAAATAATAAAACAACAACAATAATGGTAAGTAATTAAAAAGATTGGATTAAAAATAAAAACATGTTTTGAAGACCATTTTTTATTTCAGAAGGTGGAGAAAGCTACTAGGGGACAGGCTGTTCTAGATTTGATTTTGACAGATAGGGAGGAACTGGTTGAGAATTTGAAAGTGGAAGGCCACTTGAGTGAAATAGAATCATGAACTCTACCATTTCATGATCAAAGGCATGGTCGGAGGGAAAACAGCACAATAAAGATAATGGATTTCAAGAAGGCAGTCTTTAGCAAACTCAGGGAGTTTGGTATGTAAGATCACATGGGAAGCAACTCTAAGGGGAAAACAGTTCAAGAGAGTTGACAGTTTTTCAAAGAGACATTATTATGGGCACAAGAGCAAACAATCCCACTGCGTAGGAAAGATAGGAAGTATGGCAAGAGACTACCCTGGCTTAACCAGGAGATCTTCAATGGATCTGAAACTCAAAAGAGTCCTACAAAAAGTAGAAACTAGGTCAAATTACAAAGAATGAATATAAACAAATAATACAAGTATGTAGAAAAATTAGAAAAGGACAAGGCACAAAACAAAATTAAATGAGCTAGAGACATAAAGGGTAACAAGAAAACATTCTACAAAAACATTAAAACCAAGAGGAAGACCAAGGACAGGGTAGGCCCATTCCTCAATGAGGGGAGAAAAACAATAACAGAAAATGTGGAAATGGCAGAAGTGCCAAATGACTTTTTTGTTTCAGTTTTCACCAAAAGATTAGCAGTGACTGGACATCAAACATATTGAATGCCAGTGAAAATTAGGTAGGATCAGAGGTTAAAATAGAGAAAGAACAAGCTAAAAATTACTTAGACAAGTTAGATATATTCAAGTCACCAGGACCTGATGAAATATATCCAAGAATACTCAAGGAGCTGACTGAGGAGAGATCTGAGCCATTAGTAATCATCTTCAAAAAGTCATGGAAGAAGGAAGAGATTCCAGAGGACTGGAAAAGGGCAAATATAGTGCCCATCTCTAAAAAGGGAAATAAAGACAACCTGGGGAATTACAGACCAGTCAGCTTAACTTCTGTACCCAGAAAGATAATGGAGCAAATAATTAAGCAATCAGTTTGCAAGTACTTAAAATAGAATAAGGTGATAAGTTACAGTCAGCATGGATTTGTCAAAAACAAATCATGTCAAACCAACCTAATAGTTTTCTTTGACGGAGTAACAAGCCCTGTGGATAGTGGGGGAAGTGGTATATCTTGACTGTAGTAAGGCTTGTGATACTGTCTCACATGACCTTCTCATAAACTAGGGAAACACAACCTAGATGGAGCAACTATAAGGTGGGTGCATAACTGGTTGGAAAACCATCCCCAGAGAGTAGTTATCAGTGGTTCACCGTCAAGCTTGAAAGCTCATATCAAGTGAGGTCCCGGAGGAATCAGTTCTGGATCCGGTTCTGTTCAATATCTTCATGAATGATTTAAATAATGGCATAGAGAGTACACTTATAAAGTTTGTGGATGATACCAAGCTGGGAAGGATTGCAAGTGCTTTGGAGGATAGGATCAAAATTCAAATTGATCCGGACAAACTGGAGAAATAGTCTGAAGTAAATAGGATGAAATTCAATAAGGACAAATGCAAAGTATCCACTTAGGAAGAAACAATCAATTACACACATACAAAATGGGAAATGACTGCCTAGGAAGGAGTACTGCAGAAGGGATCTGGGGGTCATAGTGGATCACAAGCTAAATATGAGTCAACAG